GTAGCGTTCTGTGCTGACTGAAGGCGTCGGTGGCTGGGAGAGCTGAGCTTAGGAGGCCAGATTAGTACCGCATAGGTGGGGTGCGGCCTGGCCAGCGCTTTGAATGTGGCGGCCATGTGAAAGAACATCGTCTTAAACGGTTGGCTCCGTCGACCGGAGGAAAAACCTGTCTTCGATTTTGGCACCCTGAACCCCTGTCAGAGTTGACAATCTACGGGGTAAGGTCACGCTCGTAGGCTAATAGTGACCTCGAAAGTTTTCTTTGTTCGAGACCCGAAGGTCAACTGAACAACGATGGTTGTTGCTCCTGTCTCAGACGTTGGTCCGCAATTTCTCAACTTTTAGAGCCGGATAAAACCGTACTAGTTATACAGTAGCGCCCTTTCCAATCCCACTCAGACAGCTTAACCTGCTTTATGAGTGAGTTATTTTCAATAATGATGAATCTATTTTCTTAAAATTTAGCCCGCTAGCTGGGAGGCCGCTTGCCATTGGCAGAAAAAAGCGTCTGACTGCGAGACGCCAATTCGCTTGCTGGTTTGTTCCCAGTTGCCAGAAGATGAGGAGGCCCGAAGTACAGTATACAAGCATGCTTTGCAAAACCATTTTGAGGTGATCGAGTTGAATCCGCCTGCAGTTGATGCTGATGACGGTACGTGTCCTTTACGCACTCTAACTGTGCCACCTGCAGATGAGGAATACGGTTTCCCTCGTCTTCGAGCCGCTCTGGAGGCTCACCAATGGCCTGGATTAAAACTAAAAGGTGATTGTATTATGCTCTGTCCTGGAAACTAGTCGCTAGCTGTCTGCATCAATTTGGCTGGCACTTGTTGCCATTAACATTGCCAATGTTGTACTACTTGCCTCTTCGATGTCATTTATTTTGTCTCTGCGCGGTATGTGATTTTTCAGTTAGCCTGTCTGAGGGTTAGACCCTAGTTCTGAAAGAAGCGTTGTGAAAGGGAGGGGGTGTTTATACACTCAGTCCACGCTCCTGTTTCAGTGTATATTCACAGTCCGAAAAGAGGTCACTCTACCTGGACATTCGCGAGCTCAGTCGTATTTGCAGAAGGTTGTCGGAATAGTCACTTGTTCAAACCCCACCAAAGCGTCTGGAAACGAGTTTCCTCTGTACCGATGTGACCTGGGACAAGTATCTAAAGGTGTTACAGTCAGTGACTGTAAATGCGCTTAAAATCAGGAATTATTACGTAAGGAGGACTGCAATATTTACTATCTCGGAACATAATCCCACAGTATTTCAGACACATCAGGATGTCGGCTTTTGAACGAACGTCTTTTCGATCACCTGAAAAAGTCAGTTTGATAAAAAAGGGCTACTTAAGTAGGGTGCCTTTGTCAATGGATTTTCCATCTCCTTACAAATTCGAATATATTTTATAGAGAACACAAGCAAACATGTTCTTTATTGTACCAATTTGGTGCCAAACCACGTTTTCTTCCAATGTTATAGTCAAAGGAGGGGTATGTCTAAGGTCTTGAAAAAGGTTTACGGTTCCCGAATAATTTTCAGCCCGATCTGCCGTGTCATTTTTGTTTAGGGTCTTTCTGTCCACAAGCTATAGACCTTCTGTAGAAGGCATATCGTACATTCCTGTATGCCATTAAGAAGATACCATTAAGTGTTCATAAACTTTTGCAGTGGATATGGACTATACCGTATACTTCATTTGAGGCATTACTAAACGGACAGATACGACGCGAGTCGAATTGCCATTGCGAAGTCCTAAAATATTTCATAGTAAGCAACTTTTTTAAAACCAAAAGCCAGCCTTACTTCGAGTGAAAACGTTGCGTGATTTTCTATCAATTGAGTGTAATAAATAATATTTTTGCGGAAGGCCAAAAAGACATACGTTTGAAAGCTGACATCCTCATGGGTCTGAAATATCTAGGGATTATGTTCCAAGGTAATAAATATTACAGTTCTACTTAAGTAATAATTCTTAATCGAACAGGTATGTTAAAAGTTCGGTTAACATTGCATGAGATGAACCATTGAATATATTGATTTGATTCATTAAGTAATGTTGCTCAGAGCTTAATTTTATGCTTTAGCAATCTTACTTCTGGCCATGCTTTTAAAAAACTCGCTTCTCAGCAGGGATCATGGAACACGATCTTGAGAGCTCAATTTATTAGCCACAAACTACTAGTTATTCTGTGGAGGCACTTTTAACTTTATCAACAGTTATGGTGTTCACTTGACCCACTTGTGAAAAACTCGGCGGCCTCGATGGAATTCGAGCTCACGCCAACAGAAGGAAAGATTTAGTACAACCAAAGCTCCACTCAACTGAACTACGAGGTCCTTACCGTGAGCCGCAAGCTTACACTTGGGTCAACCTATCCGCCCGGGCTACTCGGCGTACGGCGTCCACTAATTCCGATACAGTAAGCTGACTGCTCAAGTAAGCAAGCCATCAATCTAGAATCCATCAGATGACCACCAGGCTCACTTAACTAGCAGGGGATTTCAGCAGATTTTTACTAATCCATTTGGCCCATTTAAGCCTGCAAAGCTTTGTTCCGAGGGATTTATTCCAAATTTGCACACCAATTTCCTCGGAAATTAGACAAGGCAATTCGAGCCTTTGCTAAACATCTGCTTGCAAATTTTTACGAAATCTGTAAGGCAGCCTCAAAGTCCGACACATGCACCATCCTTTTCACCAAATCACACCGAACAGCTACTGATGACCTTTCCTCCTCCCCCAAAGTATGTTGATTTAGCGGTAACACGGGATGTTTGTGGTAATACCTTTGGCGAATGAAATTTTAGAACACTACTTACGTTGCGTGTTACTCGTTTGACCCTCACTTTTCTGCGTTTACTATATACGAAATACGTTTACTTTTCTTTTCTGATTCATTGTTTACGCGATGGCTACTTTACAATTTTCCCAAATTGTAAGAAGACATGTTTGCACTCGTCACTGTTTACTAATAAACGATAATGCGTATGGGAAAAGCTTACCCATGTGACGGAAGACATATTTAAACATTTTAGCCCTATTTGCTCCTGTCCACCTGCTTTTAATCTGCAGTTTGTTTGATTTATCCCAATTTGCATTACCTCTAACAGCCCAAAATGCTGTTCTTTCACGCGGAGTGGAGTCACAACACCTCAAAGAACCCGGTTTGGGTACGTTACCTGCTGCAAGTTCAGTGGTTTCATTTTTTCATCTCTTATTGGAGCAGGGACATTTGATAGTCCACGAGCGTCACCTCGTGCCAACTCTGTGGGGCAAAATAAGACCCGTTTATTGATACGATAGTAGGGACTCAACACAAATGATGACGACTACTCTGGCCTTGCTAACATCTTTTTAGCTGCACGAGTCTGTTGATCAGGTTTTAATTATAATGCTACAGGAAAGCAGAGCTCCTCGTTCATCCATTACTGTTCTTTTACTTGCCATTCTGTGGAACCCAAAACTTCTTTCCGAATACTTGTTCGGGCACCAACAACTCGTACCTTATGCTACGCGGAGGCAGCCTTTATACGGCGGTAAAACCCCGACCTATGTAAACAGTTGGAGCATGTGGTTAACTTAACTTTGCCCTGGTAACACCCAGCTCCCTGATTTACACATTCCCTGCCCACAATGCTCCTTTTCACAAAATAACACCGAACAGCTATGTTGCTATCTTTTTGAACAAAATCTTTGACGTTGATTCATCAGCAACAGGGAACGTTTGCAGTAGTGCCTTTGTTGACTGAAACGTTAGGGAGCTACTTACATTGCATGCTGCTCGTTTGAACTTCGCCTTTCTGCGTTTACTGTCCAGAAAATGTGTATGAAGCAGGCATACCTACAGATCGGAAGACAGCTTTGAACATTTTAGCCTTATTTGTTCTTGTCCATATGTTCTGCATAGTCTGCAGTTTGTTTGATTCATCCTAATGTGCATTTCCTCTTACAGCTCAAAATGCCGTTCGTTCATGCGGAGTCGAGTCACAACACCTCAAAGAACCCAGTTTGGGTACGTTACCGGCCGCAAGTCCAGAGGTTGCATTTTTTACCCTTTTCTTTCATCTTTTATTTGAGCGGGAACTTTTGACCTTTTGACAAAATAAGATCCGTTTCTTGATACGATAGTAGGAGCTCATCATAACTGATAATGCTTACTGCATCCTTGCTAACATCCCGTTGCTGCACGAGTTTGTTCACCATGTTTAGTTATAATTTCCATGTAAACACCCAACCAAATTAAATTATACTCCCGGATACTTAGATTTTTTTGAAGTTTTTCTGCCGACTGGTGGACCAGAAAGCCGACTACGCTAAAGCTGTGTGAACGGAGACAATCATCTCCAGCAGTTGTTTATGAGGTGTCTGTACAAAAACTGGTTCTGTCCTGTCTCCTGCGGTGGTCGTGCGTCTGATCATTAAGAAGCCCTTTTAGTCTGTATGATTCTGACCTTTTGCTGCATCTAACACTATTCGCCGAAACTGGCGCGAGAATAAGAAGAAACGCAGACGACTGTGCTAGAAGGTGAATGCGCCGAGATTGGACCCACTTGTACAATCGCACTTTTCCGTTCGCGTAAGCTGCGTCTTACTGCCCAAGGTTTCGGGGCGATGTAAATCCTTAGGCAGATTGGGCCTGCTTGATGGCCTATTTTTGGGTTACTCGGCCCATCGGCAAATGCAGGTAGTGGAGCGGTTTTCGTCGAAGGACGAGTTACAAGGCACACAGGCTCTGGAGTCTGACGGATAAGCACTTAAGAAGCATATAATGGTAGTGTCCTCGGACGCGATTGGGCGGTGATCTGGGAGGCCACTCATACGATCATTGTTGACGCTATTCTCTCCAGGAAACTTAAAGTACTGTGCTGTAAGAGCAGTCGGAAACGTCCATCCTTGAATTCAGAAGCTCCAGAACATCATCCCTCCACCTAACTAGTCTTCACACCGATGCCTGACTACTCATGGTTAACTCAGGTTGATAGATAATCAGGGTCATTTTTTATCACGCTGTGGTTGAAGTTGCTAGGTGCCACAGACGCTGAGCTGACCAATTTTGCAGCTTAAACTTAATCGGTTCTCCTATACTTCTGCTTTTGCCATTGCCTCGATGGACCTTCTAGAGATTCATTTGACTTTTAAGTTTTTGTTTTTTCGCGGTCACCACTTACTTCACCCTTGATCACTCATAAATAGGCCTTTGTGTGCAAACGTCTTTCGGGGTACATGCAACCTTCAGATAGCCTTTAATTTCATACCAATCAACTGTCTCTTGTGCAGCGTTTTTCATTTTTTTACCTCACTTCGAGCGTGATTCATAAATGCTGCGTGTTAGCAAAGTTTTCCGAAAGGTGTGAATCGCCATGTTTACGCGTTTAGCGTATGCAATCCGACCATTTTGTATGAACCATTGTTACAATTCGCTCCTTTACCTTATTTGGCATGCCTTAAAATTACACTACTAGCATATTTTTAGTACAAAGAGTAATTGCATATTTTTTCCCCATTGCAGACGTCAACGGTTCCAAGGGGCCAACTTCTGAAAAGAAGAAATCTCCTAGGAAGCAGGAGAGTGAAGAAGACTTCGGTAGCCTCCTTTCCCAACTCCTTGAAATAAAGTCAAAGGCCGCAAGCATGGATGTCGCCGAACGCCGGAAGTTAGCTGAAAAGGTCAGCAGTTATTCGAGTTAAATTTTGTTGGTGGTTGGGTTCCATCACCCATTAAAATATAAATAACGGCTGTAAATCATTGCTATCGACAGACATATATGCTTAGTGACAGTCGTCGAACTTTCAGGGGAACACTTGCTTCGCGCTTGGCGCAATTTAGAGTGTGTACTATTTGACAAAGTTTTAGGTTGTTCATCACATAATGATTGAAGTGGCAGTCGTAGCGAGACGCTCACCGGTCGAGTCACGGAACACACTTGTCCTGTTATGTCTTTAGGACTCGAACCCTGTCAGCTGCCGCACAGCGATCGGCGGTCGTTGCTCTACCAATGTGAATATGCCGGATCTAAACTGGTAAGGCAACGAGCCCGTAGCTTAGTGGCTAGGGTATCGAACTGGTTCCAGTCTCGAGGAGTTGGAGAAGCACGGGTTTGGTATGGCTGGCTGGTGACAGCCAGTAGACCAGGAGTAGCCATTCCAGTGACCCTTGCTGTTTTCGATAATATCTTTTTGATTAAAGCGATCTCAGACTGGGATATTTTGCCGATTGCGATCAAAGGACGTCGAATATGTTTCTACTTAGAATTATAGTAGAGGGCTAACAAAGGCACTCAGTGAGATAACCTTATCTGTGTCAATTCAGTCGCGCCGGATTTTGCAAGACTAAACAAAGCTAATCGTGCGTACCGTCAGTAGCAGGACGAACTCAATTCGCCCATGGAGGCTAATGGCAAATATTCTGATTGAAACGATTTAAATTCGTACCGATCAACCCGAACAAACAGTTCTCAGTTGTTGCTGCGCTATTTTATTTTGCACCTATTGTTCTCCCGACCTTGTCACCACACGCAGACTATAAACTTGGATCCGTTAGCCACTTAAGCCTGCTTCATGTGGAGTACCTTTCAAAACCACTTCGTTTCTGTCTTGTCGACCCTCGCTCTCAGTTGGTTACGTCATTTGTCCTCAAGGCCCCCACCAAGAGTAATTAGCGCGCGCCAGCTGGGGAATTGTTCATGCTGGCTTACCTGATCCCTTTCGTTTCATATTACTTCTTCCCCCCCCCTTCTGACACAGCAACACAATCGATTTGTTAAGATTATATCTGATCTGCCTGCACAGAGCTTGGGAGATTGTTTAAAGACGCCCAACTGCTTCTGGCTATCCAGCCCGGAATAGCTAGCTACCTTACGCGGCTCTACAGCAGCAGAGTAGGGGCTAGTAAGTGCAGTAAGGGGTGAATTTAAATTGGTCACCTCCGTCTCCTCCTCTTCTTCTTCTTCTTCTTCTTCTTCAGTCCTATGCTCCTTGGTGTAACACGAATACGTGACGCGCTAAAAAAACTCCCCCCTCACACGACACATTTTCCGATTCCATCTTGGTAGAATTTTGCTACATCCAATCGCACGTTTTAGAGAGTGTGTGTGGGGAGGGGAAAACACGCAGGGCATATTTGAAGAGAAAGACTGTGCGCCAGCGCATGTTTTACGGTGTCGCTACTG